TTGCCCACAATCTTAGGGGCTTTTCAGATTTTCCAAAGGAATCCTATCCTTTCTTCCCCAACACTTGACCTGAAACATCAGCCTTGTGACTACATAGGGGAGAAAATTACAACAAAAGAGAAAGTAGCAGAAAGTGGAGGAAGAGCCACAAAACAGGGAAAGAAAATGACTAATGATGTTGCTTTTGTCTTTAAACAATGCTTCCCATAATTTGTTGTTTCAGGAATTGATGCAAATAAAAGAGACAAAATAAGTGACTTCAGGATAAATAAGCAGTTAAACAGATGATGGATGGATGGATGGATGGATGGATGGATGGATGGATGGATGCCATATTGGAAATCTAGTATCCCTTAGCTTCCATATCATAAAATAAGCACCATATTTTGAACAAAATCCACTAAATGTTTATTTGCTCTTGGAAAATAAGTTAGAAAAATATGTCGTAAAAGAATGATTCTGTATCTCTTGCATACCTAGAATACCTAGTATTGTAGAGATATAGAATCATATACAGCAATAGAGTTATAGACATCTTGTCCGTCTGCTGCTTCTGGTTGCAATCTGTCTCCATGTAGGAATTTTCCAGCCCCAGCTAAGTGTAATGTTATGCAGACTACTCAAAGGGGAAGATAAAAGGATTAGTAGATTGATCGGGGGAAGATATTAATGCTCTTTCATGTTGATTTGAAGACGGATTTGAGGTCATCAGAAGAGAGGATAGCAGGAGAATAGACTCCAAGTATTCAAAAGACACTGGATTAAAATCCTATTAAACTCACATCAGTTTCTCCAGGAGGCATTTTAGAAGGTTGAGGTTTCTTTAACATGTCACCATAATTAACCTTCTCTTAAGCTGTTTTGGGTGGGGAACTTTGGCAATTAAGAAACTGAAAACTTTCCTTTTCTATCACCCATATGGCCCTTTGAACGGTTTAAAAACTGGAGTGAAAGGTAGTTTAGTCTAATTGATTTGAGGGGTTCAGCTCTCCCACTTCAACCTGCTGTCAGACAAGCCCCTGGGATCTGAGCCCCTCAACAGAAAGGGCATTTTGCTGCATAAAAGAATCAAAGGTTCCAATCTATGATGCGCCTTTTTTCCTTCTAATCATTCTCCCACTGAGTTGGACATAAAGAACAATTCTGCAAAAGGAGAGCTGTTGCCCCCTTTTTAAAAAAAGTCCTCTCAGGGCCCAGACATTCACAAAAACGCCCCCAGAGGCCCAAGGACCCGTGTTCTAGCAGGTACACTCTATGCTGTCTGGGACTTGCTTGTTTCATAATAGTTGCTCCAAAGCTGGGACAGTCAGATCAGAAAAACATGTCCACCAAGGGGAGTCAGTCTGGGTAGGGGTGACCAGCCACCCAAAGACATAAGGTCATGAATCATGAGTTGCTTTCAAGCGTTTGTGTCAGCAGTTCTCTCTTCACCAGGTAAGATGTTAACCCAAGTGACAACACTCATGTCCAGCCAGATTTCCTCACCTTTGTCTCCTTGACAAAAAGTGACCCTTGCTACATTCACTGAAGGGTCTCTTCTGTCCACCTGGTCAGCCTAGACAGGCAGTGTGTGCATTCTCTCCCTCCAATTCCAGGCACAGAGTTTGTCACCGAGGGACATTCAAGTCAAGCTCACCCAGAATTACACAGAATTTAGTGACTGGCCCTAAGGCAAATCACAACCTCTGTCCTTTTTGCAATGAAAAATGAAGGAGTTGGTTGGGTTGCCTGACCTCAGAGGTCATTTTCCTGCTCTAAGCTTCTCTGAAAATGTAGCTGTGAGGTGACTGGCCTTTCAGGACCCCCGCACTCCTGCCATTATTTATAACAATGACGGTAATGGCAAGAATAGAGAGCATCTATTATGTCCAACAGGAGGCTCTGTGCTCAAAGTGCCCGTGCTTGTGTTCTTTTATTGATCCCATCAGGCAGAGATACTGGGCACTCCCAGCAGGAACTGTGGGAGATCACGAAGATCAGTCATTTGCTCAAAGTCACAGGAAGGGAGCGTAATGCACCCTGGTTCTGAGGTCTGGCCCCTCAACTCTTCCTCCACACTCCCACTTAAGACCCTAAATTCAGGCCGGCAGCCCTTTCGCCGATCTCCATACGTCTTTCCTGACTCCCCAGGGGCTGCCTGCCTGTGTGCCTGTCTGTCAATTGCTTTGATTTCTTACCGCAGGGTCCCAGCTGCCTGAAACTCCACCTGCTCCTCGCAGAGACAGAGCTTTGCCCTGGGATCCGGCCCTTTGTCCTAAGAGCCTGCAGCTCCTGTTGGGAGCAGGTGGCCGTAAAAGCAAGATAAGAAGGTGGTAGGGAAGCGGCTCTAAGGAGGTTAAAGGGGAAGGCGGGTTGATAGGGTTGATTTGAGAGAGAATTCCAAGTGCTCAGCCCCCATTGACCTAAGCTCATAGAATGGCTGCACCCTTGGCAAGTTCGGAACCCGGGAATGAACTTCTTTGTTTTCAGTTGTAGCCACAAGTCAGGGGAGGAAAAAGGAACATCTCCCAGGAAGACCCTGGAAATATCTTCCTGCTTTAGCAGTGTGTAGTTAGAGGTGGGTCTTGACTCATTCAAATGCATCCCTGGCTATGAGAATTGTTATTTTGAGCTATCAAGCCTGAAATGCTAAAAACCTAAAATCTTCAGGGTTTTAGAAAAACATCTAAAATTTTACAGTAAAAAACAAATATATTTTTAGGGAAAAAAAGTAGTTCACTTTAGCCATCCCATTCACAAGTATTTATGATGTGAAAACTTACATCGCTACAAAAATCTACACATGAATGTGTGTAACAGCTACTTTTAATTGAGCAATGATATTTATGTATAATAGACAAGTTTTGTAAACCACTAAGATGTTCTTCAGTCAGTGTATGGATGAACGAACCTTGATTTTTAGACAATAGAAGCATTATTCTATGATAAAGGAAATGATTTTATAAGACACCAATAAAGGTATGGGTACCTTGAAATCTATGTTGTTGAGTGAAAGAAGCCAGTTTTAGAAGACTGTGTACCCCTAGATTCCAACGAGATCACATTTATGGTCAAGTCAAAATTATGGAGATAGTAAAAAATATCAGTGGTTACCTGAACTAGCAGTAGGGAAGGAGGTAATCTCTATTGTGAGAAATTGTACTGATAGGACTGGAGCAATAGTACAGCAGGTAGGGCTCTAACTTTGCATGTGGCTGGTTGGGTGTGATCCCCAGCACCCCACAAGGTCTCCTGAGCCCCTCCAGGAGAAATCCCTGAGCAAAGAGCCAGAACTAAGCCCTGAGCACTGGTGGGTGTGACTGAAGAACAAAAGAAAAATATACTGAGCACAGAAAGAGAGAGAAAAAGAAAGAAAGGAAGAAAGAAAGAAAGAAAGAAAGAAAGAAAGAAAGAAAGAAAGAAAAAAAGAAAGAAAGAAAGAAAGAAAGAAGAAAGAGGGAGGGAAGGAGGGAGGGAGGGAGGGAGATTGGAAGAAAAGGGTCACAAAATAAGGCATTTGTCAAAACTAATACACATATTCAATTCATAAAAAGATACCTATATAAACAACGGACTTCAGCTAATAGTGATATAGCAATGTTGTTTCTTTAACTACCAAAAAGAAAACGACCTGTTTTCTTGGGGGAAGTGGAACTAGGGTAGGCTAGTAGAGAAGGAAGGAAACCTATGCCAACCCTCTGTTCTTTCTTAGCCACTTTTCTATGTCTAAAATTGCTCTGAACACAAAATTTATTTGAAAAATAAGAACTAATCTGATGTTTGCCTTACATGAACCTAGTCCAAAGTTTTGTCCAAAGTTTTGTCCTTCACCATCCATGAAGCAGAGAGTTGGGAGTAGCCCCCGTGCACTGCCAGATGTGACCCTAATCACCCCCAACCACCAAATAGTCTGAATATGATATCTAAATATTCTAAATATCAATAATTTCCCCCTCTCTAATTTTTTGAGCCTCAACAACATAATCACAGCAACCTGTACTACCACTGATCTTGTCAGCATTGCTCTAAGCTTTATCATTAAATAATTGAATTCTCAAAAAGGTAGATCCCTATGAAAATTTGAGTTCAGATAATTTGTTGGGGCTTTCACCCAAAGTCTTTAAGTAGAAGAAGTAGTTCTTGAATCTAAGTCTGCCCAAGCTAAGTTCATACTTGTAATTTTTGCACTTTCCTGACTTACTCCCATCCCAGACCATTACTGAGAAATGATTCAGTAAGTAGATAAGGGCCCAGCAAGTATTTTTTTTTTTTTGGCTTTTTGGGTCACACCCAGCGATACACAGGAGTTACTCCTGGCTCTGCAGCGGTGCTCGGGGACCATATGGGATGGTGGGAATCAAACCTGGGTTGGCCACGTGCAAGGCAAACGTCCTACCCACTGTGCTATTGCTCCAGCCCCAGCCCAGCAAGTCTTGACAGCTACTTTATTCAGCGCTTCCTCACAACTGGTTGCTGACCTCCCATGCACCAAGCACTATGTGAAACTCTGAAGATAGAAAAATGGATAGGAGACTTCCAGCCTACAAAGTAGAAGAAGCAAATCAAGAGATGGATGGACAATGACAATGGAAAAGCTAGAAGCAAAAAGGCAAGCAGCCCCCAGATTCAACATGGTAATGTCACAAAAAGGTCATTGGGAGCACCCTTCTGTTGGAATAATTTGATTTGCCTTAAAGTTGCAGTTACATAGGAAGCCCCCAGACAGCCTAACCATCCAGTCTTTAGAGACAGATGACCAAGAGCACAAAAACCCGGGAACAGAAAATATATCAAATTTAAAACAGAAGGAAATTTAAAACAGAAGCTAGTAAAAGAGTAGCTATCTTGGGAAAGGGCAAAAGAACTGACATCAATTAAATATCTGAAATATGCCAGACACTCTGACTATATCCCCTTTATTATCTACACAAATATAAATATTATTTCAGGATAAATATTGTTTTCTACATTATTTTCTGATGAAACTTTAAATGCCATGTTGCGAAATTCCTGTTTCTTACCTGTGTCTTTCTTCTTACTTCGGGAAAGCTCATGAACAGTGGCACCAATTTCTTGTCTCAGGATCTTGATGATGTTCGTCAAAGTCGGCAGGCTACGCTGATCCAGATAGGTGAAAAATTCATACTCATCTTTCTTTACACGGGAAGGTCTGGATTCAATGTGGGTCAGGTTTATATCATTCTCCTGGAAAAGAGAAATAGGGGTGTGAGGGCATCAGTCATCAGGATTAGCACAACCCAAATACCCCAAGCACACAACACACAATTCAATGCAATGTGGAGCGATAGCACAGCGGTATGGCGTTCGCTTTACAAGTGGCCAACACGGCCGACCCGAGTTCGATTCCTCCGTCCCTTTTGGAGAGCCCGGCAAGCTACCGAGAGTATTCGATATGCCAAACACAGTAACAACAAAGTCTCCAATGGAGACGTTACTGGGCCCGCTCCAGCAAATCGACGATCAATGGGAGGGCCTTTACATATATATATATATATATATATATATATATGTATATATATATATATATGAGAAAAATGAATGTCCTTAAAGTTACAGAAGTACTTTGCTTTTTTCTGAAAAACCAAGTCACAAATGGTAAGAGGTGAAAATGGTTTAAATGCTACCTAATTAACTCATATGTTAATTTTGGGTATTGTGCTTTGGATCTCCTGATTTCATTATTATTCCTCAGCGTTTGGGGTATACAACTCCTCTACATCACTGATGTACCCTGAACCCTTGCACCTTGCCCCCAGTTATTTCCTGTCTGTCTTATCTTACTTCCCCTTTATTTATTTCTTTCTCTGTCCTCCCTGAATTCTGGGGTAAGAAGTGATCCCAGAATATGCATTACTACCTTGCATCAAAAGGACATATGCATATCATTATGCATTGTAGTACTTAGAACAATAGCTAAGATATGGAATCAACCTATGTGCCTAAACACAGATGAGTGAGTTAGAAAGATGTGGTATAAATACACAATGAGATACAACGCAGCTGCAAGGAACGATGAAATTACGCGATTTGCTGCAACATGGCTGGAACTTCTGGCTAACTTCATTTACTTCATATCTTGGAAGTAAGCACATTATTAGCTGAACAAAGCCAAAGGGAAAAATACAGGATAATCTTGCTTATATTGAATACGTCACGGGTAGCTTGCCAGGCTCGACCAGATCAGCCATGTGCAAGGCAAATGCCTTACCTGCTGTGCTATCGCTCCTGCCCAGGGTATTCGATTTGCCAAACACAATAACAACAAGTCTCACGATGGAGAAGTTACTGGGCCCGTTCGAGCTAATTGATGAACAACAGGGGGATAGTGACAGTGACAGTGAATCTTGCTCATCTATGTTTATAGAGTATCTATGTACTCTGTGGTGTATGGGTCACTGGATGAGGGAATACAATGTAGTAAAAAAGACTTCTTTATAAAGCTTACATTTAAGTTGTGAAGAGAAAAAATAAATGAAAAATAAAACAGATTTGTACATAATTTTATAGTGACAAGAGCTAAGGAAGATCGTAAGGCAAGCAGAATGAAGAGTTCAAGTGGTAGAGGTGGCTCAGACTGTGCTATTAAAATAGGTTTCACACAGAGGATGGAGCAGATAGGCATTTTTTCTTTGCATAAATACTGACCTGGGTTCAATCCCTGGCATCCCATATGGTCCCCCAAGCAATGCCAGGAGTGATTCCTGAGTGCAGAACAAGGAGTAACCACTGAGCATCACTGGGTGTGACCCAAAAAAGCCAAAAAAAAAAATAGGGTAGACACATAAAGGACACATTGAGTAGGGAAAATCATGTGCAAGATGCTTTTATTAAAAGCTACAAAAATTATTACTATATGACCCAAATTCAATGGTCTTAGTGATATTTTGTTTCTTATGTTATTTGTTATTTTGTTCGATTGGCCCTCAAATATAACTGTGTGGCAGATCACACAACTTCAGTTGGAGTAAGTACTTTTTATTGTGAAGAAAACCAGGGGGGCATCTTAGACATTTTATTAGAATTAACAAATGATATGGATTTCCCCACAGATATAAAGAGAAAAATGTACCATGAAAAAATATAATGGTTCCTTGTGTATCTACAATTTTATAAAATGAAATTTATCAGCATTAGAGTTCAAGAAGTGGATCTTTTTCCTTGATTGCTAATGAAATATGGGTGAGAAGAACATGGATAATGACAAAATTGACATCTTTTTCTATTCAAATATCACTTAACTCTTCAGAATGATTTCCTGTGACTGTGCCCCATCAGTGTTCTGAGGAGATAAGGGAGACGTAGAAACTAAAATCAGACATGAAGGGGTTTTTCTAAAAGTGGTGTGAGAGAGAGGCTCATCACAAAGTAGGTCTTATAACCACACTGTCATTTTTGCCAGGAATACAGTGAACCCCACAAGTCTGTGCTTTTCTTGTTATTACTAAAATCCTGCCAAGCACAGAAATGGAAAACCCCTGAGAAGAGTGAAATAATGCTAAGCAACCCACACAGGGCCACTTTCAAGTCTTTTATTTCTGTCAACCTGAGGTGCAGGTAATGGGGCCCTCATTTATGGGTTCCACTTTCAGAGAAGACACCTTGAAAGTAATGGTAAGGTCAACCCAGGTGACCTTCGTCCACCCCACTGACTAGAGAAAGTGAATAGGAGGATGTAATCTCAGTAAGATGACAATGGCTCCAAAGCATTCTCAGTAAACAGGGGTCGCTTCCTAAACAGAACAGCAGTCTGTCATCTTTCTTGTCTCAGAAAGAAAGAAAATGGGGCAACTCCACCTGCTATGTGCCAAAGTTGAAACTTCCAATGAAGCGATAACCCATGCCCAACTCCCAGAGAGCAGAGGAGGCAGCCAACCTACGCCCAAGACTGGACACACTTTCTGTTTACTTGCCCACCAGTTCAGCAAGTATCTATGCAGGGGTGGAGCAGGCAGAGGATAGAAGAAGGGCTGAAAGGCAGACTCGAGACTGCTATGTTCACCATCTACTCCACACCCCTTGAACTACCTATCAAGAGAGAAGTATCTCCCTTTGAAAATAGTCATAAGACTATAGTGCCTCAGAACTCCATTTTTATAATAATGGAGACTTAACTGGTGGGAGAATTTTCACAAAATTTTGTTAAAGCAAACTCCCATAATGAGGGGACAGGGAAGTTGATGCTCTGTAGTATTATTACTCAGTGGAGATTGTGCAACCCCCCAAAAAATGCATAACCATAAGAAGACTCTTTGAGCATTGTCTGTTCATGATACGTGAATAGTGAAGTCTTTAGAGGTCCTATAGGTGCTTTTGTTTCTTCTATTTTCCCTTTGTATTGTGACTCAACTATTTTTTTAAATTTTTTTTTCTTTTTTTATTAGTGAAAAACCATGAGGTACAGTTATAGGCTTACAAATTTTGTGCTTGGGTTTCAGTTATATAATGATCACAAGATTCATTACTTGTGTAACGAAACATTAATTTTATGCTTTTCTTAGTAGGGGTCACAGTGGACAGTGCTGGGAAACGGGTGCATGCAGAACTGGGGACTGAATTCAGAGCATCACAGTTGAAGCAAATATGCATGTGAAGCAAGACATTTCATATATCTACCCAGCCTATGCACTTCTTTTTGGTGGTTACTATGAGAACCACTTGGGAAAGAATTTAACACAATCACGTGATCTTCAAAAGTGCTTTGAAACATTAACCCAAAGCCCTTTCCCCCCCACTCCCCAAATAATCAGAAATAAAATGCATCCAAATGATTTGTAAAGAGATTAAATGTAACTTCTACATATTTACCGAAGTATTATTCTGTACCTGTATATTATACTATACCAAAAAACAAATATGTGTAATTTGCAAGTGGCAAAGTTGCTGTTTTAAGACACTCAAAATCTTTATCCAACCAAACAAAATTGTTATAACTATATGTTATAAAGTATATATTTGATGACAATAATTTTTACAAAACCATATACCACGAATGGAAATTTACATAAAATAAAATATGAAAGGTATAGCGAAATAATGTAGATCAAATTAAAAGTTACCCCTGAGGAGGGAGGAGCCTAAGGGAGAACTCTTCAGGGAGTCCAGCCTTCTGTGAGATGTCCTATTTCTTTAGCAAAGAGCAAGCTATGTGGGTGTTCCTTGCGTTATTGGCTATGTTTTGAGAATCAGATAAAACGAAGAAGTCATTTGGGTTGTCTGAACTTCTCTCCTCCTGTGGAACTCAAAGTATTTATTTTGACTGAAGAAGAGCTGTTCCCTAGAAACATCGGCTCCTCGGGGCCTGAGTACAGAGTGGGTGAAAGCACCCTCATGACTCAGTCTGGATCCTGTTCTTCACCCCAGGCCCCAGGGCCAGAAAGAGGGTCCAAAAGTCCAAGTCTTAGAGAGATAAACATTGTGCATCTGCCAGATGGCCCCTCTGTGCTAGGAACGCTGAGGTTGCAGATGGCAAAGGATTTGAGGAGTCTGTGACCTGACCACTTGTTTATTCTCTTGCCTAAAGTCATTTGTCTTCATTCTGGAATTTGCTTCCCCCACGCACTTGTCTGTCTAACCCCTCAGGTTGAAACTTAAACATTAGGCCTGCAGGAAGCAGTCCTTGGTCAAGTTTGCTTTAAGTTTGGTTCAGAGTTTAGTTCCTGTAAGTTCTACTGGGAAAGAAAATGGTGATCAGCTCACTCCAACTTCCACAGTACCTATCTAGAATCTTTCAACAACAGATTTTCAAACATATAACTTACGTGCAAAAATAACGAAGTGTGAATTCACTGACTAGTTGATGAGCAAAAGGAACGTGTCATCTGGTTAATGGTAAAACACAAGATATGAACATGACAAGTACAGATTATACCTTTTTCGTTTGGTTCCTAAAGAAAGTGGAAATTAAGAGTGGCCTCTGAAGCAATTTTTACTAAGTGTCTAGACTCGTAGTTTGCGGAAACTGAATCTCCATCAGTATAATGATGCATTCTGAGTAAAGCCAGGGAGTTCAGATCTCTATATGCTCAATTGCTTTTTCCTCTCCCTGAACAACATGCGCCAAGGTGATAAGAGAAGAATTGGTGGATAGTGGGACACCTATTTGCAAGTTCTCCCAGGAGCTTGCTTCTAATTTTGTTGCCCACTGAAATAAATCATATAATTCACTTGCAGTAAAGACACTTTTTCTTTGGAGACAAAAGACATTAGCTGATAGAAGATCAAAAAATTGTAAGATGTCATGGAAAATAATGAAGCAAATATATAGATAAGTGACATTTGGATCAATCTACTGAGATCAGGTTAGTTAGAAGTTTAGCAGGCAGAGGATTTGGTATATACTTCACTGATGGGTCCCAGATCACTTAAACATCTGTTTCATCGCCCTCACACACACAACCAACACACACAAGCATATCTCTATTAATATACCTTAAACCTACTCAGGAACATTCTGATGTTGTTAGCGAAAGTTTACAAAACCACAACCCTATTGGCATGCAGCAACTTTGCTTAATGGGTTGGTGATTTTGTTGCTGATCATTTGAGAAGAAAAAAAGATGAATCATTGACTAGAAATAAAAGCTGCGCATGCAGGAAATGTCTACCCTCACTAAGCATATCTCCACTTTTTATTGAGGATACTGGATGTGTTGTGTAGATGTGCTCCTGGTGGTCAATGGCTAAAAAATCTTCCATCACACACAGTCAGGTCATGGAATTTGGATGATCTAGATTCACATGACTGTTAGCACCTTATTCATTTACCTGAAATTTTTTTTTAAGATTTAGTGTGTTCAAAGCATTGAACCTGGGTCAACTGCACTCAAGACAAGCACCTAACTTCCTATATTATCTCCTGTACTATCTTTCTATGTTACCCAGCCCCAAGACCAGTTTCTTTTAAAGAATGGCAAAATAAGTGCTGTATTGATCTTCTGTCTGTAAACAGTTGGATTTTCTCTAATAAAGATTAGAAACCTGTGGTTGATTTTAGAACCCTTGACCTAGGCCAATTTCTAAACTTTTATCACAGCCAATATAAAGAAAACTACTACACTCTCTAAGCTTTACTTAAATTGTGCAGTGTGCTGGCCTTTCCTTTCGAGGGCAACTTCTAAAATATGTCTGGGGAAAACAAACTCAAAATATAATAACAAATTTTCACCAATCACTCAAAGTACTGTTTCTTGCTCTATAAAATATAAGTATAATAGTATATATACATATATATACTATATTATATATAATAGTACATGTAGGTATAATAGTAACCCATAATGACCTGGGAAGTTGAATTTTTTAATTGCTTTATAAAACGACTTCCAACACAAACACACACACACACACACACACACACACACACACACACACACACCCCTTTGGGTACATTTTGCCCACTTATGATCATTAAGCTTCTTGTAGCTTATTAATTAGGTTGAATAATTAGGTTGAAAACATCTTGTTAGTTAACTATTATTTAATTATTAATTCTAAGACCTGACACAGGGGAAAAAAGAGCTGATTAAATAAATAATTCAAAAGCTAAAATGTTCTGTAGAAGTAATTTTTATTCATTTTTCTCATAAATTATTTGTATATCTTGTCTATACTGGTTGCTTGCAATCAAGTAAGGCAAACACTCACACTCCTCAGCTCTAGAGACAAGGTTAATTTTTAAAAATAATATCTATGATTTTAGATAAATTTTAGATGTATGAAAAAATTAAAAGGATAATAGAGTTGGCACTCCCATCTATCCTACATGCAGAAATTCCTCTATTGTTATCATCTTATTTGAGAGGGAACACCTGTTAAAATTTATTTGAGATATTTTTAGTTTTAAAATTTATTTGAGATATTTTAGTTTGTTCTTAATAAAAAATATGAAATTTTTTTTATATTCTAAAGTTTCATGATGTCTTGAAAGTCATGCATGATATTATGCTATCCCGTTCATTTTGGACTCTTTTTTTTAAAAAATTTTAATGAATCACCATGAGTTACAGTTACAGACTTATAAGCTTTTGTGATTATATTTCAATCAAACAATGTTCAAGTACCCATCTCTCCACCAGTGCTCATTCTTCACCACCAGTGTTCCCAGTGTCCCTCCCACCACCTCCACCCCTCCCCATCCTCTGCCTCTGTGGCAGACACATTCCCTCTTACTCTATCTCTCTCTCTCCTTTCAGGTGTTATGGTTTTCAATACAGGCATTAAACATTCTTTTGGATTCTTTGACTGTACCACAGATTCATCACTTAGTTCTTGCTTATGATAACCTTGACAGTTTTGAGAAGTATGGATAAAGAATTTGTATCATTCTCCTTGGTCAAATATGTCTCATTTTTTCATGATTAGACTAGGCATGTGTTAAATGGAGGTAGATCATAGAAATGAAGTGCTGTTTTCATCACACAATAGCAAAGGGACATGGTATCTTTAATTAATCACTGTTGATATTGACCTTAGTCAGATGGTTAACTCCCACTTTGGGAATCTTTATGTCATAACACATAATCACTTTAATAGTTGGAAGAAAATATCATCCAAAGGCAGACAATCTCTCCCACCCCTTCCTGACTGTTTTCCTTTGGAGAAAGTCTGTGTTTCTCACACTTACAAATGAGGATTTATACTCTCCTTCTTTGGATGAAAAAGTATCTACTTATATTATGCAGAACTTTTTATGGGATAATGGCTTCTTTTCATTTCTTTATACATTCAGTTATCAGATATAATTTTTTTTTTGCTTTTTGGGTCACACCCGGCAATGCTCAGGGGTTACTCCTGGCTCATGCACTCAGGAATTGCTCCTGGCGGTGCTCAGGGGACCATATGGGGTGCTGGGAACCGAACCTGTGTGGGCCATGTTGGCTGCATGCAAGGCAAACGCCCTACCCACTGTGCTATCGCTCCAGTCCCGATCAGATATAATTTTATGAGATGACCTGAGGTAAATATTAATGTGACTTAATAATATTTCTTCTTGAATTCCAGGGCAAATGAGTGAGAGTCTAATTTACTTTGGTCATACTTTAGTCCTAATTTCAATATGTGGGGTATTTATGTGTGATGTACATGTGAAAATCTGTTCTATGGATAATATAAAGACTGAAGCTTCCCTGCCTGAGAAAAGTATCCTTAGAGTCAGATATAAATGTAATTTATATACTTAAGGTAAATAAATGCTGCAATTTAAAGTAAAAAGTGCTTTAATAAGAAGTATAATGGTGGAATAACAAATGCCCAAGAATAACGGAAACAAAGAACATGATAACTGGTCTTCAGTAGGAAACATGCCACTTTGGGGGTAGTTGGGGATGTAGGATAGGGGACCAGACAGGGAAAGAACAACAGCTATGGTGGAAGGAAGAATTTAATAGGGAGAAGGAGGTGGCGTTGAAAGGTTATGAGTGAATGGAGAAGGTGATGTTGAAAATATTATGAATGAAATCCAATCAGTAACAGTACTGTAAACCACAGGGCAAAAATTTTTAAAAAATATCAAATCACCTCTTGTAGAGGGAGACTGGTGGGTGAGAGGCAGGTATAGGGAGCCAGGGGTGTATTTGTGGAGGGAGGTGGACACTGGTGATGGGTTTGATGTTAAAACATTGTATGCCTCAAACCTAACCATGAACAACTTTTTAATTTCCTTGGTTAGCAAATGAAAAAAAAATTAAGTGATTTAGTAAACATTGATAAGATAGTAATTAACTCAGGGAAAGAAATCTAAACCAAAGTTTGGTTTTTTGATATGTGACTTGACTCCAAATGATTCTGATTCTGAATGTAAAGCTATCGCTCAAAGAGATTGAAGGTCTTAACTAAGTTCACTTGGTTAGTTAATATAAAAACCTGAGTTGAAAATTAAGTCTTCCTATGTGAGTTACTCAGCTGTTTCATGGAATTTAAGTAGAAAATAATGCTGCAGTATACTCTACCACTGCTCAAGGCAAAAAATAAATTACCTCAAATAAGCGCAGGACTTTGGCCAATGCACCAACTTCTTCCTTGAGAGAGAAGATCAGGGAAATGGCACCATTTTGATTGGTGTTTTCTTCAATATAGCTCGTTTCCTGCAGAATTAAATGTACTTAATCAAAATGTTTTGCACAGCTTAGCAATTCATTCCCATGAAAAGTCCAAGGAAGAGCAAGTAGTAACTCTCTTGTCTAGTTTAGCCTTGGAATGCAATGAGCTATGTATTTTATGCACAAGGTAGTCACTATCTCTATCACTATCACTATCACCCCGTTGTTCATCAATTTGCTCAAGCGGGCACCAGTAACGTCTCCATTCATCCCTGTCATGTGCTAGTGTAGCCCGATGGCATATTGGGGGCTCTTTCACAGGCAGGGGAATGAGGACCATCATTGTTACTGTTTTGGGCATATTGAGTATGCCACGGGTAGCTTCCCAGGCTCTGCCGTGCAGGCAGGATACTTTCAGTAGCTTGCCGGGCTCTCTCTCTACGTAGATAGTATAGTGGCAAATATGTAAGTCAAAGGTTTACATATTCATGGGTCAGGTATTAGTTTTAAGAAACTTTTTCTAGCCACCCTACAAATTCAATGCTTTTAAAAGAGCACCTTCCATGGCCACCACCTCAGAGCTTATAGGAAAGTCAGGTATGAGCCGGCGGTGACAGGGCAATTGCAGTCTCATGAAAAGGGGGGTTGTACAGGCTCGTCCTTCACGCCCTACCGAGGTCACAAGTTGCCCCCCATGAGCTACTCTCCATCACGACCATGCCTCCAGAGACAAAAGTACTTAGTCCACAACCCGGCAGCTTGCGGCAGAAAAGTGAATGGACCATGCATTAAACTACGGCACCATGTCTCCCTGGGAGGGAAAAGGTGTTGCTCCCTTCTTCTTCCACACTCCCCCACCCGCCCCCCGGCAGCAAGGTGGCCACTGCCTCAGAGCTTATTGGAAAGCCATGTATGAGCTGGAGGTGATGGGGCAACTGCAGTCTCATGGGAAGGGGAGCAGTACCGGCTCATCCTTCAAGCCCTACTGAGGTCACGAGTTGCCCCCCACGAGTGGCTCACCAGCACAGCCATAACACCAGACGCACAGAAACCAATCTCGTAATTATCTGACTCTTTGCATAAATCCAAAATCATTATACAATTCTCATAACCAGCTATAGAAAACAAAATATTTCACAATGCCTTTTCAGCAATTCTGATTGTTGTGTGTGTGGGGGGGAATTCTGAACAATAATGGTGCGTCTTTTGTCACAATAATGAATGTAATCAATGTAGAGAAAAGTAGAAATCATCTGCCTCACAGGCATTGGGAGGGATGGGAGGGGGGTATATTGGGGTTCTTGGTGGTGAAAAATGAGTACTGGTGAAGGGAAAGGTGTTTGATCATTGCATGACCAAGACTTAAACCTAAAAGTTTTGTAACTTTTTCCACAGTGATTCAATAAATAAATATAAGAAGATAAATAAATAAATAAATAAATAAGTAAAATTATGGAAAAAAAGTAAGGTGGAGTTCATGCCCAATTCAATCAGCTAATCAGTGGCTGAATAAATAGCAGTACTCTTACATTAAATTAATTAATTAATTAATTAAAGAGCACCTTCCAAGGATCAAGTTACAAGTGTGTTCTGACAGATAAGTAGATGAACAACACAATGCCTTAGTTTTCCTTCAGGAGTTATTCAAAATCTAACACAAAACTCACACACACAAAGAAAACAAATAACTAGAGATTGTTTATTAAGGGAAGCATAGCATGGCTGTAAAAGTTTATGAGAAAATTTCGAGAAATAGAAGGTGGTGGAAAATGGACACTGGTGGAGGGATGGGTATTTGATCATTGTATAATTAAAACCCAAGCACAAAAATTTGTAAATCTACAACTGTACCTCATGGTGTTTCACTAATAAAATTTTTTTTAAAAATTTAAAAAAGAAATATAAGTTGTAAGGTACTGGAAACTCATAGGCTTTTGAGTTCCAAGTTAGGATCTTGGAGAGAATTCTTTGTTAGAATCTTCTCTCCTGTCTACCAGTTTGATGACACTGGACAAATAATTATTCTTCTTTTTACCTCATCTGTAAAATCATGCTAATTAATAAAACACCATGTTAAAACAATACGATGACTAAAAAATAGATTACCACTTAAATAGACTTAAAAAATCTATAAGAAAATGAAAATATTATAAATATACAAGAATGACCTCATGACATTTTGTAAAGATTTCAGGAAATTTTTAACTTATTCCCATATGCTGAAATCTTAGATATACAACTGTTGGAAAAGAAAACAAAATAGAATATATAAATAATCTATGGGAAGGCAAATATCTTAAAATAATGAAGGATGTAAGGACTAGATCCAGAACTTTCTACATGCATATGACAGCAAACCATTGGTGGTGTTAGGATTGATATTTTAAAAAATCTTTGCAAAGACATCTTTAAATTGCAAGTAAACTTCTAAATAAAATTTTTCAATAATAGATAAAGTTCCATGGAAGATAGATAAAGGTTCAAATAAGCAGCAGGTACTAAGTCAGGGAAGGAAAAAACATAAAAGACAATTACTTTCATATAAGCAAATTAGGGATATTAGTGGAATGGATGTTACATTTAAGCAATGAGAAAGTTGTATCAAGTAGTCAGTCCTAGTGACTGGATATCACAAGCCTCATACAAACTGATAATGTTTAGGACAAAATTCTTTCAATTCATAAAGTACATATCTTTTCATATTGTCTTAAATGGAGATGTTGAGAAAAATTTAATTACTAGAGTATGCTGAGAGAAAACTTCAAAAGAATTGAAAGGCTAATCTGTTTTTATATCTTAACAAATCATATTATCTTTATGAAAAAATATTAGACCTATCATTAATTAAAAACCAAAACTCTCCCAAGAATTATAAGAGCAACTGGATCAGTATTGTCCAATTCAATTGTTTGAAATTATATTTTTTAAATGTAACTAAAGAGCTATGCTCTGCAAAGTTACTGACAGTTGCATGGTAGACATACAATTATTCAACACCAATCCCTCCATTAGTGTCAGCTTCCCTTCACCAGTTTTCTCAGATTCCCTCTCCCATCTCAATCCCCCACTCCACCTCCACCTGTCAACTTGACAGGTACATTACAAAGTTTTAGTGGTTGCCACTTAGATCTCATGTTTTTCAGTTCTGTTGAATCTGTGTTTTGGGTATTTGGCTTACTCCTCACTCATATCACTGATATAACTGAAGCCCTGAAGCCTGTTAACCCATTACTTCTTGTTCTCTTTTCTCCCACCCCACCCCCTTGATAATAAAATATACTGTAGTAAAAGGGGGGTGCTTAGATCATCCTTGAAATCAATTCAGTTTTTAAGCACTATGTATGGTAGGATTTTGTGTGTGTTTGTTTTGGGCCACACATGGTGATGCTCAGGGGTCACCCCTGGCTCTGCACTCAGGAATCACTCCTGGCAGGGCTCAGAGACCATAAGGGATGCCAGAGATTGATCCTAGGTCAGCCACATGCAAGGCAAGCCCCTTACCTTCAGTACTATCACTCCAGCCCTGGTAGGGGTTTTTTTTAATCCTTTGTTACTGATAACAAAATTAAGGTGAAAAATGCTCAATAATTTGCTAATAGTTACAATTAGCATTGGAGCCAGGATGAGAGCCCAAGTCAATTGGTCTCGGCACACTTTCTATGAAGTACACCATATTGTAGCTTCTAGCTATCATATCAGAGCCTGCAGATGAGTTCTCTGATGTCAGTAGCCCTTAACTCTGTTTTCCTTAAAATGAAAAAAAGCTTTCATTTCTAGTTATTTCTAGTTTGCTTAGCAACATTCTCTTTTTCTGTTGCCCTCCAAGAGAAGTGATATGGTCCCAATATACCTTCTCAGATGTCACTTGTGACAGGAGGATGCAAATTTGCATGCTCTTGTGCTCAAACTTTCTGCATATGCTCAGAAAATGAAGTCCAATCTGACATTTATGACTCCAAAAGTCAAGTGTTCATTAGCTCCCAACACCACCAAGGTAAACCCATCTTTACTGGTCTTCATTTATCAAACTAACATTTTTTTTTTGCTGTGTCCTCCTACATCCCCTATGGTTTCTCATGATCTGTAGGAGAAAATACTTCCTTGCGATGTTCAAGAGTCTTGTTTATGTCTCACCTCCAGAGATCCACAAACAGGAACCTTCCCACCAAAACACTAGTTCAGCTTTTCTTTGGAATGAATGCGTTGAATCCCTTATTCTCCCCAACTTTCAAACTTCTCATCCTTTCTTTAAAGAAATCCCTTTTGTATCTCCCAGCTGCCTGTACCCCTGGGTAAGAGGAACAATCCCTCCTCCATCTCTGCTTTTCATCTGACTTGGCTTCAAGTGCCAGCAAGGGACTTGACAATAAATTGAGATAATAAATTTATCTTGATAATAAATCAGAGCTAGACTTGTATGTAGTAGTCATGTAGTTAATACATTCATTTTTCAGATGGGGAAACTATGGCCAAAAAGAAAGATGTGACTCACTGATTCACACTAATAGAGGGTGACAAGTCAAGAATTCAGACACCTTAGTATCAATCAACCAATACAACTCCTTCTGCTAGGCACATACTGTTCATATTAAAATCTGTTTCCTACAGAATGATGACTTTGCTTATGTCCAATATCCTTATATTTATTCAATATATTTCCTAAAATATTATATCTTAAGGGCTCATACCAGACTCCTATCACTATCTCCACCACCTCCCAACCCCCGTTGCCACACATGGACACATACATAAAGTTTTTAATCATCTTTTATCAGTGACTGTTCCTTGAATCTGAACTCCTGGATTTCTTTTATAAAAATGCATTCCTAGAACCCATTCAAGTTTTATCAAATCATAGTGCCTAAATTGCCACCTTAGAATCAAAAGTTTTCAAAGAAAGGGGGTATGTTTCAACCAATAGATCAATCTGTACATGTGGGGTGAGTGCATCAGCAGTCTGATGGTGCCTTCAGGCTTCCTGATACCCCAAAATTGCCACTGTGCCTGTGGCCAGACCCCAACAACTTGGGACCAAGTTTACCAAG